AGACGTAAATTATGTCAGAAAAAGTATAAAAATATTTATGTCTCAGTCGTTGCATCGTTTTTGCAAAAAGGGATAGCCCTAGCTTTACTTTGTGTGCTCTAAGTTTAATCCTTCTTTAATACCTTAGAAAAGTAGTAATTAATTTAATAAGATGGGCAGTAGCCTTTCAAATAAAAAAATTCAGGAGGAAAAAAGAAATAAAATAAGTTATCCAGTTGGAAACAAGCTGATACCTGCCAGGAGGATCCAGGGAAAGCTCCCTATTGCTGGGTGCATTGTGTTTATGCTATAATTAAAAACGGATTAGAAAGAACTAGAGCATAGCACCTCTGATTGCTGCTTGCCTTCACACTCAACTTTAGCCGGTGGCACTCAACTAAGCCCAAACAATCTAGCCTGGTCTGTGGGCTAGGAGTGCTTTGACAAAAGGTGGACAGTTAGTTCCCTTCTCTGAGACAGTTCCAATAAAATAAAGGAAGGGGGGAGTTAGTTTTTTTTTTAAGACAGCAATGCCATATGTCACTAAGGAACTTGAGACATTCTCTCCTCCCTCCTTCTCTTAATGTGATGGCTTGAGCTTTAGAATTGGTAATTCCGAATATATTGGCTCTTTTTACATGCCCTGTTGAGCTTTCAGATACGGTATTTTCCTTCTCTCACAGAACATATGATACTGTGGGGGGGGGGGGGGTGCCTGCTAAACTTTTTAAAGTCCTGGGAGTGTGGGACCTTTTTCTCAGTGATAAGGGGCGAGTTACCTACGTTTTCTCTGAATAGGAAGGCTACCTCTCTGTTCTTTGTCCTCTCCCCACCCCTCCTTCTTTCAAAATGAGTCCCTTTGTGTTTACCCAGACATGGGGCTTCGTGGCAATTAAAAGATTCCGAGGTGGCAGCGGCTCATGCCCCAGCAGAGCAGGATTCCAGCTTTCCATGGTGACACCCAACTTCCCTTCTCCACACCTCCTTCTCGTCCACCAAGACAATTCTAATCCTCCCCCTGCGGTTACTCTGCAGAGGCTTCCAGTCCAGCTCTCAGAAAGAATCTTTCTTAAGCAAATATTTGCCAACGTCTATTTTCCTCTTTAGGGAAGTGAGCAAAGGAAGGGCTCGAGTCTCTTAATCCCCTTGGGTCTCCCTAGTGCAGATGGTGACAGACTGCAGGCCAGGCTGCTGGTGCTGGAGCCCACCTGTGCCGGGACTGACACTTGGCTCCATGGGCTCAAACCTTCAGTGGCTTGATCAGCTACTCATCACAGGGGTGATAATTTGTCCTTATGGCAACCACTGTAAGTCTCTTTCTCTGTATGGCAGAAATCCAGGAACATTCCATGAGGGTTACGACATTTTCCGTTTACAATAATGGGCTTTACCTTTCTCTTGGTTCCATGAACTCTTTAAATGTCAAAGTGATTCACACGGGAGGAATTGATCCTACACTCTTCGGTGAAAAGCTCAGAGATCTATAAGCTGTTTTTTTATTTTTCATGAAATGTCCTGATGCTTATCTTTTGAGGAATAATGCACTCCCTGCTTATCATCATATTATCAGTCTGCGTGTAGCCAAGCAGTTGGATAAAAGGCACAAGGAATGTACAATATTTGGAGAAATTATTTTCTAGAGCTCTCACTTTTCCTACCTGCCTCAGAATCCTGTGAATGACTGTGAAGACCTTCCCAAGAGTTAATTCTCTGTGTCCTTAGCAGATATTTCACTAACCATGTCTTAATTTAAAGGTAGTTGGCAGCAGTATCAGACCAAAAGCAACCTGCCTTCCACAATCTGACTATATTTCCCATAAACATTAATGTGTGGAGGGTCATTCCTTTGAGATGCCTATTTACCCCACCTGAATTCTGAACCACATTTTAAATTACAAAAGAGCAAGTCAGAATATATACACATATATGAAAAAGAACAGAGAGACATTAACACCTTGAGAAAGAACATAATAAGCATTTGAAAATCCATTCACAACTATTTACTGAGAGCTTTCTCTGCTAATACTATCCAGGCCCCTAGCAGGGGCCAACTCCCCCACTTAGGATCTAGATCAGATCCACTCTTGTCTACTTAAGGATATCATCCCAGCAGTTTCTCTCTGTCTTGCCAACATCATCAACATTCCCATCTCTTCTGGATCTTTCTCATCTACCTGAAAACATGCTGTTATTATTCTTCCATCTTAAAAAGCCCTCTTTGGACCAGTGGTACCCCAGGTAATGCTCCATTTCTCCTCCATTTAAGACAGAGTCCTTGGAAATGTTGAGTATATTTGCAGCCTCTAACTTCTCCCACTCTCTCTTGAACTTACTCCAACCAGTCTTTTGCCCCCAGCCCCACTCCAAAAATGACTACTCTTGTCAAGGTCACTAATGATCCTCCTGTTGCTAAATCTAAAGGTAAATTCTTAATCTTAATTTCACTTAACTTATTAGTAGCATCTGACACTATTGGATCTGAAAAGTGTGAGTTGCAATTATGGTACACTATTTTTAAGAGCCGCAGCTTCTACTGCCTCTTATTAATTTATGACCCCCAGATCTACAAGTCCAAACCTGGTATTTGTTGAGAGTATGGATAGATGAATGAATTAATTTTCTTTTCTACACTTCATCTTAGGTGTTTGACCAACAGTATTATTAAATGTGAGGGAAAAGTGGAGTATATAGTCTCTGCTCATTTAACTGCTTTCAGAATTATGTCCTTGTTACAGCTTTATTGATAAGATTCTGAAAAGTGAAGGTACCTCATTCACAAAATAAAAAACACTACAATTTTCTCCTTAGGCTTCATAAACAGTGAAAGTTATACTGTATAGTCTGCCATGCCAATTCTGTAGTATTTTTTTTTTTTTGATCTTGGTGTTTTATTTATTTATTTTTTTAATTAAATCTTTATTGTTCAGATTATTACATTTGTTCCTCTTTTTCCCCCCCATAACTCCCCTCCTCCCAGTTCCCGCCCCACCCTCCGCCCTCACTCCCCACCCACTGTCCTCATCCATAGGTGCACAATTTTTGTCCAGTCTCTTCCCGCATCTCCCACACCCCTTTCCCCCCCAAGAATAGTCAGTCCATTCCCTTTCTATGTCCCTGATTCTATTATAATCAACAGTTCATTCTGTTCATCAGATTATTTATTCACTTGATTCTTAGATTCACTTGTTGATAGATGCATGTTTGTTGTTCATAATTTGTATCTTTACCTTTTTCTTCCTCTTCCTCTTCTTAAAGGATACCTTTCAGCATTTCATATAATCCTGGTTTGGTGGTGATGAACTCCTTTAGCTTTTCCTTATCTGTGAAGCTCTTTATCTGACCTTCAATTCTGAATGATAGCTTTGCTGGATAAAGTAATCTTGGTTGTAGGTTCTTGGTATTCATCACTTTGAATATTTCTTGCCACTCCCTTCTGGCCTGCAAAGTTTCTGTTGAGAAATCAGCTGACAGTCGTATGGGTATTCCCTTGTAGGTAACTGAGTTTCTTTCTCTTGTTGCTTTTAAGATTCTCTCTTTATCTTTTGCTCTTGGCATTTTAATTATGATGTGTCTTGGTGTGGTCCTCTTTGGATTCCTTTTGTTTGGGGTTCTCCGCGCTTCTTGGACCTGTAAGTCCATTTCTTTCACCAGGTGGGGGAAGTTTTCTGTCATTATTTCTTCAAATAGGTTTTCAATATCTTGCTCTCTCTCATCTTCTGGCACCCCTATAATTCTGATGTTGGTACGCTTGAAGCTGTCCCAGAGGCTCCTTACACTATCCTCGCATTTTTGGATTCTTTTTTCATTTTGCTTTTCCGATTGGGTGTTTTTTGCTTCCTCGCATTTCAAATCATTGACTTGATTCTTGCGCTCCTCTGGTCTGCTGTCGGGAGTCTGTATAATATTCGTTATTTCAGTCCGTGTATGCTTAATTTCTAGTTGGTTCCCCAATATAACATCGAGGGTCTCATTAGTTTTCTTGTAGATCTCATTAAGTTTATCGGCGGCTTCTAAACAGTTTTTGAGAGACCTTAAAAGTGTGGTTCTGAACTCTATATCTTCCATTGACAATTTTGTCCTGTTTCTTTGTCTCCGCATTTTGTTATGCTTCCTTGGTGCACCCCCTAGTGGTCTTTGTGCACAGTCTTATAGTTAAACCTTGATTGTTGTAGCTAATACCAGGGAGGGTTTGACCTCCAGGCCAGGTGGCTATGAGAATCAGCTGTGTCAGCAGTGAGAGAACTTCTGTCCTCTAGGGAGGTGCTAATCTAGCCTTTGCCTGAGGCTATCCGGCAAATGCCTGTGTGCAGGGCTTGGGCGGGGCGGGTCGCACAGGATCAACAGGGTGGGCCAGAGAGAGCAGTTATGGCGGCTCTCAGTCCCGTCCCCAGGGGCTCTGCCTCTCTGAGTCCCAGCACCCGCTGCAAAGCTCAGAGAGAAAGCTGCACTCGCTCTGACCGAAGCCAGACAGTTCCGCTTCTCCCGTTTGAGTCTGGGTCGCTAAAGACTCGCCCGGATCTGGAGCTCAGAGTCTGTGACTCCCTCCCGATTGAAAACGCCAACCCCGCCCTCCGCCGCCGCCAGCCCGCTCAGCGCACTCCGCACCTCAGAACTTGACTTCAGCACTGCGCCTCCTCTGAGTGTCCGTATGCGTTTCTCTTTCCTCCTAGTTGTAGGACTTCCACTCAGCCAGCCTTCCTGTGGTTCTGGGTGATGTCCCTTCCGTCTTTTAGTTTCACTTTTGAAGTAGTTGTTCAAAGCAGCAAACTCCGGCGTTAACCTATGCCGCCATCTTGGTTCTCCCCCAATTCTGTAGTATTAATCTATGGAAAGAATACATTTTGATGCCAATAATCAGCAGTACATTTCTAGCCCGTGACTAAAGATGTTTAATTAAATTGAATTATTGATCTAAGTTATTTACTACACAATGGCTGAAGTTAATCAGGTTTATGACCTTTATATATCTGTGGTTTCATGAGAGAATCACAAAATATTTTTCTCATGCATTTGTTTTCCAGCATGACCACTGCCTCTCCCACCCAACATCCTGCTCTGGGCCTGGCACTGAGCTCATATGATTGACCTGCATTCTAACAACCAGGAAGCATGATGCCCAGAGGGTTCCCAGCCTGTCTGATCCTGCCCCAATGCTTGGTAACCAAGTACTGCTTTACTGATTGCGGTCTACTCACTCCATACTTCCTGGTTCCTGATCCTGGCTGCAAACTGGTTTTTAAAATATTCCTAAACTTTTGCTCTAGGAAATGAACTTCCTGAATCAGAGGACTCTGATAGTAAGGTGTTTAATTTCCTTACTAATGCAGAAATGAAACTATAGACCAGAGTTTTAGTATGGATTATTCCTATGGCTGTGGATGTGTGTGTCAGTAAAATAGACAGTACCCTATATCTTTTATCCTAGTAAACCCACTCCCTTTACCAAGGGCAATTTACCCTTGTCCAGAATGATTTAGTTTGGTGTTGGTAATCCCTGCATTATAGGAGATTATTATCTGTGACATAATGCACTTGCTTCCTGATTAAGAATGATACAGCAGGAAGAATATGAGTAGGGATGTGAGGAAAGGAATCTATATTACTGTGTACAGAGTGATTTATAATAATATGGTAGTTGGATATGACAACCACTTTTTATAAATGTAATTTTTCGTATCTATAAGCAATAAGAACAACAGGAAGAAGGGGGAAGAGAAGAAGAAAAGGAAGGCAGGAAATAAGAAAGGGAGGAAGGAAGGAAGAAAGGAAGGAAGGAAGGAAGGAAGGAAGGAAAAGAGAGGAATGGAGAGAGGGAAGAAAGGAGGGAAGGAAGGAAGGAGAGCAGACAGGAAGGAAGAATAAAAGGTAGTGATGGAGAGAAGGAAGAGTAAAAAAGGAGGGAAGCCAGGAGGGGCAGGCAGAATAAGAGAGATAGAAATTATTTTCTTCTCATAAAACCCATTAATAAAATATTTCAGAAAATTTGGAAATTTATTTAGAGAATTTAGTGTTCACCTCGTAGAGATTGTTTAACTCAAGTGGGTCCTAATGAAGTACCAACTAAAAATTATCTTTAATTTGTTGCATAGAGAGGTATAAATGAAGTGAAACTGATTAAGCTCCTAAGAATTCTTAATATGATAAAGAAATCATACCAGGCCTTGAGTGCATGCCCTGTTTTATGAGTGTTTTCAAAAGGGGGTGATTTATTGTGGCAGGAATAAAATAATACAGCAGGCATTGTTTTCTTTCTGGTTCTGCCTGCTGGTAAATCCTATGACCTTATGTTATCTATCCATGCTCTTGTTTCCATTTGTGAAAAACAGCAATCCTGTAACTTAATTTATTTTATATAAGCTTGGGGTACCTTTGAAGCATTTATGATAACAGAAATATCAATGGCAATAATATCAGGATAGTTCTTCATTTAAAGAAAAACCTTTTTTAAATATATTTTATTGATTTTTTATAGAGAGGAAGGAAGAGGGATAGAGAGTTAGAAACATCGATAAGAGAGAAACATGAATCAACTGCCTCCTACACACCCCCTACTGGGGATGTGTCCACAACCAAGGTACATGCCCTTGACTGGAATCAAACCTGGGACCCTTCAGTCTGCAGGCCGATGCTCCAACCACTGAGCCAAACAGGGTAGGGCAAGAAAAACTGTTTTAATATTTTTATCAGTGTCTCCTGGTAAGACATTCACATAACAAAATCCCTGATTGTAGCACTTGTTGGTGTGCATATATCGGAATTCTCAGAAGAGAAGCCAACGTTTGACTCAGCTGAAAGATTGATCCCTACTGCTGGATCCTCCCATTTGGAATAATGTTCCAGACAATTTGTACTACCACTCCCTATCCTGAACAAACACATTAATTCTGTTTTAATTATGTGCCAATATGTCCTTTATGTGAAATTCCCAGATATGTACGGTAGAAAGTCTTTGGGAGTTATTTTAGGGGAGTCAAGGTTTAGTCTCCATAGCTGAATTCTTGGAAAACCAATCTTGTGTCTAACATGGTCCCTCTAATGAACAGCTGATGGTGAAAAAAAAAAAAAAAAAAAGACCAAGGAACCAAGGAAATACTTGCCAAAAATAGGTCTAAACTAGGCATTTGTTTCAGGCTTCACACATCTGCTTCCCAGTATTGAGTTAAGCCTGGGAATGGGGAGGATATGCTGGTTTGGAAGTGCTTAAGTAAAGTTGTTATTTCCAGTTCTACAAAATGGGGATCAAGGATTAATCAAAATGTTTTGTTACTGAATGCTGGTGTGTGTGTGTGTGTGTGTGTGTGTGTGTGTGTGTGTGTGTGTGTGTCCAAATCTTGATAAAATTTTAATCTGAATTAGCAGACTTTTTCTGTCAATAAATATTTAAAACATTACATTCTATGAGTTACATTTATATTAGTTCTCCTTCCTTGATATTGGAATAATCCCTCATATTTCATACCCAATTAAGAAAAGTATATCTAGACTCTGAGTCGTGATGCAATAACTTCTTGAATGCCCTGGAATGTGGTGACCCTTGTTTTAATAGACTCACATATGCACTATGTGGATTTTCATGTCTCTATTGTGTTTCATGGTGTTTTTGGATCCCTTGCTGAAAAGAATCCACGCTTCCAAAACAGAGCTTCAGCAATCATGTGCCTAGATTAATCTGTCATCACCACGTCAACACCCTTTGCGGCAAAAAGTTCAGAAATTCAGCCTTCCTGGCTTCTGAACAACTCTTTGGATACAGAAAAGACAGACAGCCTAGGTTAGGCCCCTAGGTCACATATTGCAGAGAAGAAATCAAATTTATCAGATAAACTCAAATCAGGGAAAGTTAAAATGATTTTTGAACAAAATACATCTTGGGGAGTTTCTGTACGAATAACACAGAGCTCTGTCATCAACAAGGTGTAAGTCATTCAGAATGAGGATTCTGAGAGAGATGATTCACGTCTCTTGGATAAATGAACATAAAAGCAATTAGCAGGGTGTGAGTTATTTGGTTTCTAAATGTCCTGACAGTTATGACAACCAAATTTAGATTTTTATCTGTCCAATGCTGGTTTAAGTCAGCATTAAATTAACTCTCTTTCTCTTGGAGTCACTCAGAAACTTTTTTTTCAAAAAACTCCATTTAAATACTTATGGTTACACTTCCTGTTTAAGGAAAGAGAACATGACGAAACTATATGATTCCAATAAGGAGATGTGTCATCCCAGTGAGCATGTCCAGTGTAATGTGGAACTTCACGACTTATGATGGACAGCAAAGTGCCTGCTCAGCACACGCCACACACATGATAAACTGAGCACTGCTAAATGTAATTGCTCTGAATTCTGCAAAGGACACTTCACATACTCAAGGCTGTCTCATTTCCTTGCTCAAGTGAAATTGATCACCTAAGATGCACACATTGACACAGGCAGAGAGAACTGAGGACCATGAGGAGATTAGGAAATTAATCATATCCCAGTGATTTATTCCTTGGTTCATCTGAGTGTTTACATAACAGTATGGGAGGCAGGTAGAAGACTGCTGATTAAAAGGAAAGTGGTGGGAATATGACTGAGCAGCATCCAAATATGGGCCCTGTAAATTTCTAGTCGGATAACCTCAAGCAATTTAACACGTCCCTCCCATGACTCAGTTTCTTATCTCATAGATCTATTTTGAGTATTAAATGCAATGATGCTTACTAGATTATAAGCTTCTTGAAAAGATGGTCCACGTTCAACAGCCTAGTTCACTGGTAGATCTCTGGTATCCAGCATAATGTCTAGTACATAGTAGATGCTCAGTAAATGTTAGATGCGTGATTATTAAAATGTTTACCATAGTCCCAGGCACAATGTAAGTAAATATAATGCTGGTGATAATGATCACATTTCTTAGGAAACCCTTCAATATTTTCCCAACACACTTAGAATAACTTGCAAACTCCTCTAAGGCCCTATGTGATTTGACTTGTTTCTATCTTTGCAGCGTCATTTTAAATTAATGTTTCTTCTACCTTCAGCCACACTTTTCTCCTTCGCTGTCTCAAATAAACCAAACTTCTTCCTATATCAGGACCTTTGTGTGTACTTCTCTCAGTGTGCTCTTGCCTCTTCCATTCTGCATCCAGTTCTTCCCAACACTTGGTGCTTCTGATCAAGAGCTATCTAGGCAGAGCCCACCGGTAGATCCTTTGCTGTAAAATCACAGAAGCCATGCCCATAGATTTCTACATCAGCCTACTTCATGGTCCACAGAACCATGTGGCCATGCTTAACTTCCTGAAAACTCAACTGGTTTACTCATGCCAGGGTTGAACAGTGACATCTTTCTGATTATTTTCAGACCTTTATTACCTCAGGGTCCATAATTGTATAAGGTGTAATTCTAGAATAACTTTTTTATACTATAATATCATAGTTGTTCTGCATCCCTGATTATACACTAATTGCTGGCGTCATTTGTAACGGAAGCTTTAAAGTTCCAGGGCAAAAGAAAGTTAAAGATGAGTGTCTGGAATTGGTTTTCTGATCTTATTAGATTTGAATGCCAGTGATAAAAGAGATACCAGGAATCCATTGACAGTTATTTAGATGTTTACTTTCAATACCTGTATCAAGTACCTACAAGGAGCAAGTCCTTAGGAAGATCAAGTTTCTGCTATAGAATATCCTAGTGAAAATAACTGTATAATGGGATATATTACTTGTTTTTAAATGTTCTGGACAAATTTGGGGAAAAATGATGTGGTTAGAGTTTTAAATTCCCAGCTAAGCAAATCAGATTAGATTGGAAGGAAATAATGTTGAGTCAAGCTGAATTTGTTAAAAAGGGTTTACTATGTAGAGATTCTGGGTTCATGGAGATGCCTTGAGCAGTGAAGAAAAAGTCTAATAATTTGTTTGACTGGTTGACTGGAACCTAGACCCAAAGTTAACTTACACTCAATACAACTGTAATGCTAGAACTTTCTCAGTATATTGTAGAGAAGGTATCCAAAGGCTTAGAGAGATTGGAATGCTGGAGTGTGTTTATTATATAAGACCTGCTGACACACCCCTTAACCTTGGGAAAGCCCAGAGGACATTCCCTATCCCAGGGCTGGGCAAGGTTGCAAGAAATATATTCATGAGGAGAGCTCTCGCTTCTTTGAAGA